AGAGAGAGAGAGAGAGAGAGAGAGAGAGAGAGAGAAAGAAAAAAAAGCATTTGCCTTCCCTCCAACAGTCAGAGACGGTCAGAGTGCCTCTGCTTGGGGACCAAGTGTGGACTTTGATCTCAGGCTACGCTGTGCTTTTTAGAAAACCAGGCGGGGGACAGGGGGCGGAGGGTGTGACCGCGGGGCGGTGACTGGGGGGGGGGGCGGGCGGGCGCGCCCCTCCCGGGGTGGAAGGGGGGTGGTGGTGGTGGCGGGTTTGGGAGGGTGCTGGGGGGAGGGGAGGTGACAGTCCTGTCCGGCGGGCGCGCCCGGCCCTCACAAGGGGTTGGCCAGCGCCTTTTTGGAGCGCTTGATCATACTGGGGTGGAACTCGGTGTGGCGCCGGGCGTGCTTGGTGAGGTGGTCGCTCCTCATGAAGCGCTTCTCGCACAGGGGACAGCGGAACTGCTTCTCGCCCGTGTGCGTCCGGTAGTGGCGCGTCAGCTCGTCCGAGCGCGAGAACTTTTTAAGGCAGTCTGGCCACGTGCAGGGGAAGGGCCGCTCACCTGCGAGAAGGGAGGCAAGACAGGGCGCGGTGACACAGCACATCCCAGGAGTGCGCGCTCCCAGCCGCCCCTCCCCACCCCCGGGACGCGCAGGGGGGACCCCCGGGACCTCAGACAGTGACTGCCTTGGGACCGGCATTAAGCCGCCCGCCCCGGGGGGCACCGAGCAGACGGTTCCGAGAAGCGTCTTCTCAGAGCACGTGAACTTGCTATTTTATGCCCCAGGGATCCCTGAGAGCCTTGGACATTCTTATTCGGTTGCTCAGGTTCTCTCCCAGAATCAAAAACCTCAGCCCTTGGCTGATTTCCCGGCGCTGTGGACCTCAGGCCGCACGTCCAACCAGCCCCCCCAGCCGGAGCTGCGACCCCCCTCCAGCTGCTGCGTGTCCTGGCCGCCCAGCGTCTATGTCCCCAAGCCTGGTGACAGCCCCCTCCCCGCCTCCGACAGGAAAGCTGGCTTGCTCCTGAGCACCTCGGCCAGGAACACTTTCAGGGACATGAAATCTGCTTCCGTGCAAAAGGCCTCGCTTTAAGTCCTATTGCCTTAACACAAAACAGCTGTGTGTTCCCTCCTTTGGGTGTCCGAAGACAGCTATCGTGTCCTTCTCTGATCTCTTGTTCAGACTCAACAATCCCAGTTTCTTCCATAGAACAATGAACCTCATTCTAAACTGTTAAGAGGGAAGGGCTCCGCCTGAGTTAACTCACTGAACGCTCACAGGACTCCCCGCGGAGGTGGCCCATTTCACAGATGGGGAAACAGGCTTTTAACACCTGCCAGGTGTTTCCGGGGCGCCCCTCCCACCCCCCTTGTGGTCACTTTCCTCAGATTCAGCATATTGTCTGCACGTCGCACTGAAAATGCAGCTAAGCCTCACCCTCCAGACGTGAGCAGGCCACCTCCTGGCCCTGGAATGGCAGGAGAGGGCCTGTGCCCACGTTTGCCCGGTCCTGTGCAAGCACAAAGGCCGAATGAGCTGACTAAGACGAGAGTGTTGTGTGCTCCTCTTGTGAGCGCCTGCCTGCCTGCCTGTTTCTCACCTCCTTCTAGCAGAGCCCAAAGTGGATGCTTCACAGACCCAGGGCTACAGGCTCCTGCCCTCCACAGAACTCTCCAGAAGAGTACATGTTTTCTCACTCCCGTCCCCCCCTTCCTGGCTGAGAGCTGTCCAGAGTGGTGCATCTGAGTCATCCAAATATTATTCATCCTTCCCCTCCCCCCCGGGCCAGCTTCTCCTACCCGGTGCCAGAGATGTAGACATACTGATAATAAGGACAAAACCAAACCTTTGTCAGCTTCGTGACAATTTCCACATGGCTAAGGTTTTATTTGCTGGTCTCTCTGCAGAACAATGGTCCTCACACCCCGTACGACCTCCTTGTTCTTACGGGAAGCCCGGCATGGGCACAACGAATCTGTGTAAGTAGATTCGTTATATGTGGGTCTGTGTGTAAATCCCCACGGAGCCGGGGGCTGAAAAGCCACAGCAGCACAAGGCAAGAGCAAACCAGCGAATGCCGAACCAAGGTGGACACGGGTGCTGGGGTTAATGAGGCATGAGGATGCTCGAAGTCTCCAGGAAGGGCCCCCAACCCCCCAAAACAAAACAAAAAGAAACCTCACTTCAAACCCAAACCCTCTGAAACATTCAACGACGTGGAATCGAAAACTACACTTTTGCGTCTTCTGCTGGACCCAACGGCACCCTACCCGGTTCAGAACTTTGGAACAAAAGGTGGAATGCAGTTTGCCACAGCCCGGCAAGGTTGAGCCTCCTAGGTAGGACAAGGACAACATCATGTGTGGTCGTGTGCTGTTTATACTGCCGTGCATTGAGTAACTGCCCACGCGCATGCTACATATGTGTGTGCATGTGTGTGTGCAGAGCTCAGTCTGTTCATCCTCCAGATCGCTCACATGACCAAAGCCTGCTCAGAAGTTCCCGGATCGCTGGGGGGAGACAACTTCTGCCTGTTGCAGAACGAGACGGCCACCAAGTCCTCTTAATCCCGTGAGGGGTCTATGGGAGAGATGTTCTCTTAAATATGTTCTGTTAACATATACAACAAAGGGTCAGAATTCACACAGCAATGAATTTTGTAACTATAAAAGCAAACCAACCGAGACCGAAGTGAACAACCCTCTCTTATCTCTCCGTCCCGGAGCCATTCTCTCCACTGCTTTATGATTTGGTGGTGAGGAAAGCGACCGAAAGGAAAAGCTCAGTGTTTTCTCAGTGCTTGTTAGGACAAAAACTCATTGGAGGGATTTTCTCGGAGGAGTGGTAATGTGGGTTAGCTTACTCACTGGCACATGTTTCTTTCAAGTGAGTCAGGAGAGGAGGTTAATTTATTGGAAAGGATCTGTGTCCACTGTGGGGAAAAATGGATCAGAAGACCTCTCTGCTATGGGCTGGATTGGAAAAGAAAGAAGGCACTCCTTCTGTTTTAGGAAGATGGCTTTGTGGAAGCGATACTCAACGGAAAATTGTCATGAAGCCTGAATCGGCTGTAAGTACAGAATTTACAAGCATTTATGCTTACAATTCACAATTCACATATGTTTCAAGTGTAATCAGAGTCCCTTCCCATTGAATTCACCTTTGGTCTAGCTTATGCCTACCCTGTCTTCACTGCCCTCCATGGTTGTCACCACATGACTGTTCTCTTCCTTCTAACCCAGATGCTGCCATTGACCTAGCATCTTTATCCCTGTTGCAGAGAAGAGGGGACCACCTAGTGAGCCCAGAGCAAATCAGAGCCAACAGTAGCGTTTGTTAGACTCATATTACTTGTATAATTCAACCTTACAGTTTCTAAGCATTTAAAAAAAGTTCTACTTGTCAGTGACTTCCTAGTGTAAAGGCTCCAGGATCATTTTGATTCTTCTTGGATCCCTTGGAAAAACAGTAGGAGATTTTTGGTCAGCGATCTAAATCAGGGGTTTAGCAAACTACAGCCCACAGGCCATATCTGACCTGCCATCTATTTTTGTAAAATTCCATGAGCTAAAAATGGTATAAACACCATTCTTCTATTTGGTTTTTACCAAATAGTTGGGAGGAAAAATCAAAAGAATAACAATATTCTGGGATAGGAGAAACTTTGATGGGATTCAAATTTTCGCGTCCACATACAAAGTTTATTGGGCCACAACCATGCTCATTTGTTTCTGTATTATCATCTCCGGCTGCTTTTTCACTATAACAGCAGTCTCACATGGTTGCAACCGAGACTGTACGGCCCATGAAGTCTAAAATATTTGCTATCTGGTCACTCGTAGACAGTGGGCGGACACATGATCTCAGTCTGAAAATCTGAACTTGTAGCTGGTGTGCACCAGAGTTTGCAAATCCAAACATCTTCAGGAGTCAGACACATAATAAAAATGGGTGTGGCGCGCCTGGGTGGCTCAGTCGGTTAAGCGTCTGACTTCAGCTCAGGGCATGATCTCATGGTTCATGAGTTTGAGCCCTGCGTTGGGCTCTGTGCTCACAGCTCAGGGCCTGGAGCCTGCTTTGGATTCTGTATCTCCCTCTCTCTCTGCCCTTCCTCTGCTCATACTCTGTCTCTCTCAAGAATAAACATTTTTTTAAAAATTTAAAAAATAAAAATGGGTGAAATGCTAGGTGTATTAGATCATGGATTGTAGTGGAATCCATGGCCGACTGGAAGGCTCTTTGTCCCCTCAAAGGCATTCACATTCAACACTTTATAAAACATTGTGCCAAACAATGCGTGTGTGCAGGAAGCCTGGATTCTTGGAGACTTACAATTTGTATCCCTTTGAAACCATCTACCTCTTTAACCCAGTGAAGAGTTTACACACAACCTACTTTGGGATACATTTCAGCTTGTTAGCAAATAATAGACACATAATAAGGTATCATCCAGAAAATGATACATGTTTTGCACCTAAGAAAGTATGGAATGGAGAAATCGTAGGTAGAGAAGGAACAGAATTTAAGGCTGCATGGGACCAGAGATGGTGGGCAGAGAAGAGAGGCTTGCCCGTCATCTTGCAGCCAAGAGGAAATCAAATCAGGCCTTTTTTTCACTCAGCGCTAAGGCCCACAAAGAACAGGTAGCCTTCTTCACACAGAACGAATCATATGGCAAAGCAACTATCAATTAAAGAATCTTTAAACTTGTCTTTAGTATTAATGAGCGAGCTACCATCCTCCAGGGGGGTTGGGGAAAAGGAACAGACATGTACTAGTGTTTTATTTCTGGCCTTTACAGGAAAACATAGCCAGAGGCAGTGACACAATAAACTCTTGCTTTACTGGAGCAGAGCTGTTAACAGCACAAGTTCCTCTGCGTTCTCATTATTTATACACCACTCCCCTCCCCTTTGAGCAACGCACTAAGCACCTCTCGCTGACAGACTCCGCTCAGAGTATAAAATAAACTTGATCAGAACGGCTACTGAATACTGCACCTGGTGTGTAAAAGACTTCCTTTGCAGAGGCAGGTCAGGCCTCCAGAAGGCTCCTGGGCCTCCAATGGGTTCAAGAGAAGTGGAGTAGAGCCTGCTGGCTACGTGCTTGCCTGCTTAGCACAAAGGACGGAGCCTCCACCCGGCTTGGTGATTAGTCGACAAGCCAAGTGGGGAGTTCTCCATACAGAGGGAGAAAGACTACAGTGGGAGGACTGCTAACTGGCTATACTCAACCCCCCTCCAGGTTCCCCTGAGTTCAGACAGGCTGCCCCTGGGGTACTGGCCTGGGGTCCGGGAGACCCCTGCTCTCAATGCACTGCTTTCCCACCTGGTTCTCCTTCCCTTCCACAATGCCACAGAAGGACCTAAAATGGGCTAAAGCAGGAAGGTTAAAAGTACAAATTCTGAACCTCCCATTGCTTCTGACAAACGTAACTCCATCTAGTAAAACCAGAAGGGATCTCTAAAAATGCCAATGAAGAAACACAGCTTCTCGCGGATATACAAAATCAGGGCCACTTCTTCAGGAAAAAGTAGCGTTTTTTGATCGAAAAAAAGC